TAAACAGTGACGAGGGTTGTTACACTCTCAAAGATAATCAATAGTGCTAAACTCACTGTTCAGAATATAAATTGCGTGCCTTAGACCCATCGAGAGTGCCTCTCTTTTATAATTAACTCAATCCTTGTCCCAACAGAAGCCTAGTTTCAATGGACTTTAGCCCAGTGCTTATCCAGGACTCTTCAATAGATAGAGATAAACTCCCTAAGAGTTTTATCCTTATCCAGGCTGAGTCATCTCTTCATTCTAAGATTCTTGTCCCTTATCCGTTTATCCTGGAGTCTGATATCTTCGGAGATAACCTCGGCTTAGCCGAGATCATCTCGGCGTCATAACCAGGACACGTGGCACCTTAACTGACACGTCGGCGTCACCTTGGTCACGTGTTGGTAACCAGAAAATGTATCCCCACAAAAGTATAATTATAACAATTGATATTCCTTAAAAAATGTATTATCAAAGGGTAATTTTGAAAAATTAATTTTTTTAAAATGTAATAATTGTACTATTAAAAAAAGTTAATTTTTTCAAAAAAAACTATTATTTTAAAATGGATAGAGTATTATTTAAAAAAATATTATGTATATTAAGATAAAATTAAATTTTTTAATTTGAGTGTTGTGTAAATTGATTAAATAACAATAACAACGATACGTACCGTATGTGACGAGACAACTAGTAGTATCACCTAATTAATTCACATCTAATTTTATTGACAAAACGACAGTTTTTTCAAAATATACTAAACAAAAATCCGAATGTACCATTATGATCCAGTCGCACAGCTGATGATTGGATACTGAAGTAAAAGCTTGTACATGGTAACCTATCTGCACCAAACAATTTTTCCATCACCGGGGAGGAGAGGGAGAGAGAGAATCGATATATGCTACTCTCCCGCCCCCCCCTCTCTCTCTCTACAGTTGGTTCCTTCAACCAACAACCATGTCACTCTGTTTCTCTTCTCTTCCCTGCACAACCCATTACCTCCTCGTCTTCCTCACCATGTCGAGCCTATTCACATCAAACATTCATGGCTTGAAAGCACCATTTCGTCCCAAAGACATGCTACCATTGTTGCCAAAATCAGTGTCGTGGCCTATTCTGAATTCTCTCCACAGTGCAGTCGACATTTTGCCCACTTTCGTCGGCGCTGTTTCGTCCCCAAACGACATCGTGGAGTGGAAAGGGGCTTGCTTCTACAAGAACAGGGCTTGGATGGTGTTCCATAACAAAAGTAAAACTGAATTTGGCGGAGGCACTCTTCATATCAAGGTCTGTACACTCTTGGGTTTTCTTTGCTAGTTTTGTTTAGTGCTGATTTGCTTTCAATTTTTTCGAAATTTTGAGGATTGGGTATGTGGGTTGCCATTTTTTTGCTCAACTTTTGGCTTGAATTGAAGCTTTTGTGAATCTTATTTTAATGGGTTGTCGAGAACTGAGCTTCTTTTTGATTATTTATTTATTTATCCTTTCGTCATAAATCTGATTGGTGATTGGATATTGGATATCTGGGTATTGATGTTGTTGAGAGTTCAGTTTGAGTTTTTTATTCTTCAAGGACTTGTGATTGAATATCGAGTTAATTTTTTGTCAGCTGATCTTTTGGCAGTTTGGATTATTGGGTATCTGGACAGTTTCTTTTGTTGTATTGGTTGTTCTTGTGACTTTTCTGTCCACGGATGGTCCTAGTTTTGGTAGTTAAAATCATACATTGCTAAGGCCATTTACACTTTTGGAGTATTGGTCTCATATTTGGGATTTTTGTGGCTTTCTTTTTTGGTGGAATTTCTTCAATGGTTTTTTGTATGTTTTTGGTGAGCAGAAAATGAAATTGATTTGGCTTATATATCGGTTGGTCATTTGAGGTTATTGGTTGTTTTTGTTGAGATGATGGGAAAAATAATCAGTTTGTTTGGTTTTAGTTTCCGGAAAACACTTTTTTGAAAATTTTACATTTGTATTTTCCGTATTTTTTTTGTTTCTAATAAATTTTTTTAATTTTTAGACACACCTAACCTAAATACACTTAAAAAGTATAATATTTGTAAAAAAAAAAAAACTTAAAAAAATTCACTAAATATCAAAAATACAAAAAAATATGAAAATTCAGTACATGTTTCATATTTTTGTGTATTTATTAATTTTTTAAAATATTTTTTCACAAATATTTTATTATTTAAATATATCTAAGTAAGGTGCATCTAAAAAAGTTAAAAAATTGCTTAAAATTTTAAGAATATTCACTAAAAATAAAAAAACACGAAAAATAAAAAACTCAATTTCTAAAAAACTGAATTCAGAAAACTAAAACTAAACACACTGAATAGTGTTGATTTTTGTACGTAAACAGTCTCATTGTGTTTGATTTTTGTTATGGATTGACCTGTAATTATAGAAAAATAATAGTGCTGAAATATTTAAGTATATAATTAGTAAAATTAAAAATTCAAATATAATTGTGTTAACCACCATTGAGCAAGCAATATATAAACCAGTAACAACCAAATTTGATGGCACTGTTTGACTTCTTGCCTCTTGTTACATCCATGGGGTTTTCTAAGTGAATTGTAATTTCATATACAGCTAGTATAATTATGGATGTATCAGTTTTAAACTCCTTTAACAATGCTACTACTCCAATTACTTGTATCTCTTTTTCTTCATCTTCAGGTTAGCAATGCCCACAGCTGGACATGTATGGATCTTTATATCTTTGCAACTCCATACCGTGTGACATGGGACTACTATTTTTTAGGCCGTGAGCATACCCTTGAGTTTAAGCAGTGGGAAGGAAAAGCTGAGTATGAATATGTAAGTTGCCACTACTTTTTGAAAATTGCTAGACCAGTTTGTTTTGAAGCATACATTTCTTTATAGATGATGTCTTTACTTGCTATGAGAACAGGTGAAACATAAGGGTGTTTCAATTTTTCTCATGGAAGCGGGAATGCTGGGAACCCTTCAAGCGCTGTGGGATGTCTTTCCCTTGTTCACAAATACTGGATCGGGTGAGAGTTCATACATTGATTTTCTCGAGAAAAATATGGGGGCTTCCTTTGTAAAACGTCCAGAGCCATGGGTTACAAACATTGGTTTTGATGATATTCAGTCTGGAGATTTTCTTGCACTATCCAAAATCCGAGGACTATGGGGCGCTTTTGAGACTCTAGAGAAGTGGGTCACGGGTGCTTATGCTGGTCATACCTCTTAAAGGATTCTGAAGGAAAGCTATGGGTTGCAGAATCTGGACATGAAAACCAGGTAATGCCCTACAAGTTGCCTTGATTCAACAACTCCTTTAACCTAAAATTCAAGCTCACATCACAATTTTATCGCAAAACTTGAGATATGGAATTTGGGAAGTTTTTCACTCAAATATATTGTAATATGTATATATGGCATAGGATGTTAACCATCAAAAAGAAATATCGAGTGTGTTTGGTTTGCTTTTGAGAGAGTGATTTTCAAAAAAAAAATTGGGGAGAGAAGAATTTTTTTGGTTTGTTTGGTTGTATATTTTAAAAGTAGTTTTGTAGTTTAGGAGTTTGGAATGATTGGATATTTTGTTGTAATTGAGTAGATGTGTGCAAGAGAAAAAGTGATTGAGAATGAGAGAGGAGAGATAAAAAGTGATTGATTGATTGATGTGCAAGAGATAGAGTGATTTTGGAATATTTTGAGAAAAACCACAAATCAAACAAAATTTTGAAAAAAAAAATCAAAAACAACTCTCCCAAAAGCAAACCAAACAAGCCCATCATCATGTCTGATTTCAAATTTTAGGAATGAATAATTTGAGGATTTGTTATGGAATGGCTATGTTACATGGTCTCTTTGCTGATAAAAAAAAATGTTATATGGTCCATTCTTTTTTTTCAGGTAATAGTTATATAGTCTCTTCTAAACATATACAGTTGACACTTTAGTATGGGTATAGGATACAAGTTCAACATGTGTCGTAGGATGTTCACCCAGCAAACATATTTAATAATTCAAGTTTATAACTGGGCACAGAACTCTATATTATGCATGAAATGTTATATGGCACCTTGTAAACACCATGTATCCTATAAAATAAAATAAAAAGTATATTAAGAAATATGAATATTTTGTTGTGCCCCATGTTGTTGGACATGAGAACTAGATGAATCAAACACAGAGACGTACTCACTCCCAATACCAGTACTCGAATCCGTGTAACATAGATAGTTGTTTATCATGTAATGCACTAAAGATTCCCAGCTGGCTTCATTTTAAAAATTGTGTAATGTTCTAGAAAACATTAAAAACAAGATAAATAAATAAATAAAAGACTACTACTAAAATCTTGTTGACAAACTGTTTGCAAAATTGTTTTCGGATTCTTAAAATGCCCCATTTTGGGGACCAACATTAAATTGTTTTCTGAATTCTCAAAAAATGCTTTCATATGAGCATGAAACTGATAGGAAAATAATGGTGTTTTTGAGTTTCACATCGTTTTTGTTTCCGAAAACATGAAAAACAAAAATGGGGAAATTTTTTGAAAATAAAGCTTTTGAGCTCTTTCTAACTTGGAATCCAGTGGTTTCTACACTTGTAGTTACTAGCATGCATACATTCATAATGCATTTGGACGCAACATGATCTTTAATGCTCCTGTTCATTTACTAGGTACCTCATAACATCTGTTGGATAGTGGCTTCCTTGAGATATTGGTAGGGTTCTGATGTATGAAACCCAGCCAAGTTTATCAAATTACTTTTAGCTGCCTGTTAAAATCCACCTACTCTCCACCTACTTCACCCACTTAAACCTACTCCACTAAACCTAACCCACTACACCACTACCACCTCACGTACTCCACTAAACCTAACCCACTACACCACTACCACCTCCACTTCACCTACTCCTTACCTACTACACACTCACCCTCTTCTATATATAGGAATCATGAATCATTGTAATAGATATCAATAAAAATCAATAATACATCAATTTTTACATGGTATCAGAGCAGGTTTAGAACCTAATATTTTCGCTTCCCCGGCGGGCGGCAACCTCACCTTAGCCGCCCGCCGGACCTCAACCTAGTCCGCTAGAATCATCTTCACCGAATCAGTTCTTCTGCCGCTTGAATATTGCCGTACTCTAAGAAAGTGACTCCAGGCATGACAGGTTCAAAAGGAGTTCTGTAATGCTCTTTGCTAGTCAAAGCAAGAGCACCCATGGTTCTCCCACGGCTTCTCCGAAGGTCTCTTTCTGCTTCCAGATCTCCAGAAATCGGTTGGATCCATCGAGCCCAAAGTAGCCAGAGTGATAAAAGAGAAGACAAGAATACTCTCAATCGACAAATGACCCTCCGATCTACTTCCCTCTCTCTCTCTCTCTCTCCATACATATACACCCAAATCGAAGATGTATATGGCATATGGATGGCCAGAGGTCATCCCTCTCGAATCTGGTCCCTGTCCTTCTTCCAAGCGGATCATCTATCTCAAACTCACCGATCGCCTGTTGCTCGTTGTCGCTCCTTCTCATTTGGAGCTCTGGAGCTCTTCCCAGGTTAAGCTTTCAAACAAGTTATCACATGGGCAGTTTCTCTGTATTCATGAGATGACTGTACAGGCTTTTAAATGCGTTCTGCGGGCAGTGGTTGCTGCTACATTAGTTCTGATGCTTGGAGAGCCTGAAAACGGGCCAATTAAATCGATCCTGTAAAAAGTTTAGTCTCTCGTCTGGAGGCAGCTGGACATAGTTTTAAAGAAGAGATATGAATGGAATCTCTGCAGCTTGCGAGGAAATTTGCAATTCTCTCTGGCTTATGCCATAAAGTGAGACTCAGAGTGTGTAGACAAAAGATGCATAAGAAAAGCAACAAAAGATTCTTCTTGTTGCAGGTTTGTGATGGTGACAGCTGTGGGATATGAACCCACGCTCTTTTTCTCATCTATCACACATCCACCACCCACGTTATTTCACACTTTTCTTTTATTTTAATATATATATATCAACGGTCCGACATGACCCCATAAACTGTCTTCTACAACGGTCCGACATGACCCCATAAACTGTCTTCTACAACGGTCCGACATGACCCCATAAACTGTCTTCTACAACGGTCCGACATGACCCCATAAACTGTCTTCTACAACGGTCCGACATGACCCCATAAACTGTCTTCTACAACGGTCCGACATGACCCCATAAACTGTCTTCTACAACGGTCCGACATGACCCCATAAACTGTCTTCTACAACGGTCCGACATGACCCCATAAACTGTCTTCTACAACGGTCCGACATGACCCCATAAACTGTCTTCTACAACGGTCCGACATGACCCCATAAACTGTCTTCTACAACGGTCCGACATGACCCCATAAACTGTCTTCTACAACGGTCCGACATGACCCCATAAACTGTCTTCTACAACGGTCCGACATGACCCCATAAACTGTCTTCTACAACGGTCCGACATGACCCCATAAACTGTCTTCTACAACGGTCCGACATGACCCCATAAACTGTCTTCTACAACGGTCCGACATGACCCCATAAACTGTCTTCTACAACGGTCCGACATGACCCCATAAACTGTCTTCTACAACGGTCCGACATGACCCCATAAACTGTCTTCTACAACGGTCCGACATGACCCCATAAACTGTCTTCTACAACGGTCCGACATGACCCCATAAACTGTCTTCTACAACGGTCCGACATGACCCCATAAACTGTCTTCTACAACGGTCCGACATGACCCCATAAACTGTCTTCTACAACGGTCCGACATGACCCCATAAACTGTCTTCTACAACGGTCCGACATGACCCCATAAACTGTCTTCTACAACGGTCCGACATGACCCCATAAACTGTCTTCTACAACGGTCCGACATGACCCCATAAACTGTCTTCTACAACGGTCCGACATGACCCCATAAACTGTCTTCTACAACGGTCCGACATGACCCCATAAACTGTCTTCTACAACGGTCCGACATGACCCCATAAACTGTCTTCTACAACGGTCCGACATGACCCCATAAACTGTCTTCTACAACGGTCCGACATGACCCCATAAACTGTCTTCTACAACGGTCCGACATGACCCCATAAACTGTCTTCTACAACGGTCCGACATGACCCCATAAACTGTCTTCTACAACGGTCCGACATGACCCCATAAACTGTCTTCTACAACGGTCCGACATGACCCCATAAACTGTCTTCTACAACGGTCCGACATGACCCCATAAACTGTCTTCTACAACGGTCCGACATGACCCCATAAACTGTCTTCTACAACGGTCCGACATGACCCCATAAACTGTCTTCTACAACGGTCCGACATGACCCCATAAACTGTCTTCTACAACGGTCCGACATGACCCCATAAACTGTCTTCTACAACGGTCCGACATGACCCCATAAACTGTCTTCTACAACGGTCCGACATGACCCCATAAACTGTCTTCTACATCGGTCCGACATGACCCCATAAACTGTCTTCTACATCGGTCTGACACCACCATACAGTGTCCTCTACATGGTTATGACACCCCTATACAGTGTCCTCTACAACGTTATGACACCACCATCCAGTGTTTTCACCAATGGTCTGACACGACCATACAGTGTCTCTTATCCTCTTTTATTTTTATGTATTTTCTTATTTTGTTTCTCTCTCCAAACTCAAGTTGGTTAGTTCCTATCCCCTTTGAGTTTGCGGGGGGCTGTTAAAACGTATCACCTACTTCACCCACTTAAACCTACTCCACTAAACCTAATCCACTACACCACTACCACCTCACCTACTCCACTAAACCTATCACCTACTTCACCCACTTAAACCTACTCCACTAAGCCTAACCCACTACACCACTACCACCTCCACTTCACCTACTCCTTACCTACTACACACTCACCCTCTTCTATATATAGGAATCATGAATCATTGTAATAGATATCAATAAAAATCAATAATACATCAATTTTTACACTGCCTATTTTGTATATTAATGATTTATTATTTCTTTAGATGAGCACAGTAGTGTGTTTTATTGTTTTTGTATATCATTTGGTACATTGTACTTCTGCATCACATTTTTTTGATAAATATGCAAACTTTACATTGGTTAATATTGGAGCCATTTTAAAGCAAATATGGCTTGAAGGTAATGTAAAATTGGTGTTTCACATTTTTGTTTCAGGGACAATATCATTGTTATTTTGCCATGGGATGAATGGATACTCAGTCAAGATGATAGCAGTTCACATATTGCATTGCTTCCTTTGCATCCTGATCTCCGGGCTAAATTTAATGAGACTGCTGCTTGGGAGTATGCACTAAGCATGGCTGGCAAGCCTTATGGTTTTCATAACCTGATATTTAGCTGGATAGACACTATTGATGGGAACTATCCGCCACCCTTGGATGCTCATTTGGTAATGCATTTATGGCCTTTTAAATTTTATTGTTTGGGGTGAGTTTGCAAAATAAGTGGATGCTATACACTTTTTTCCATTTTTTTTTCTTTGACATTTCTGTGGTTGTGCCGTATGGTTTGGGATAATTTGATGTTTCAAAGAGTCATGTTCCGGCCATTAGATCTTTAAAATTTTATCCTAAGACCTATGAGGTATAATTGATTATAAAAAATATTTTTTAGTTATTTTTGAACATGTAACATTGCACGAGCATTAAGAACACTATGTAAATGCCACTTGAGAGGTGTAGAGCAGATGGCTCAGGATCACACCTCAAGGAGCTGGAATCTTAAGTTTAATTGATTTTGGCTGTGGTTTTTATCATGAATTTGAGTAAGGATTTGTAAAGAGAAAGGAAAATGTGAGGAATGTAAATGAAATATAAGATAAATTTTTTCTACATTTCCCTCGCCTTTTTTATTCCCTTTCCAAATCCCTACCCATATCCATGATCCAAACACTGCCTGTCACTTCTTTCTGTTGTATACTAGGCACCATGATGGTTTTTATTTTCACTTAATAGTTTCGATTTTCAACTTTGTTATGGTACAGGTTGCTTCTGTTATGACTGTTTGGAACCAGTTACAGCCTGCTTATGCTGCTAATATTTGGAATGAAGCCTTGAACAAGCGACTTGGAACTCAGGTATTATAACAATTTATTCCTCATTTTGTTGACCAAAAGTTCATAATGGTTTGCTTATTGAAGCATAGTCTAAATGGTTGGGATCCTCATCTCATGAGTGAAAGAGGATGCATATTGTTGTTATCAGTTTGGGGCCTCTTACATTGATGAATGGGATATCAAGCATCAGTATATCTCTTGTATTTATTGATATGAAAATGAGGACTTTGTGGTGAAGATACCATTGGAAATTTTTGGTATTGGCAGGTCATGAGATTAACTGACGTCCTATTGGGCCAAATATAGACAAAACAGCTCGATCCTAATGAGCAAGTTATTGAATGTCCTTTGCAAAATAGCCAGGCGTTGATTTGGATGAAATCACATACGATAACTGATATCATCATGCATTTAATATTTAAACTAAATGAAATGTTGTCTTTTTTAATATAAAATGTGACTTTTTGTGTTCTGTGTATGGCCTTAGTCTTCCCAAAACTCTTGTGGAAACTGAAAGGCGTGGGACATCTTTTGATGAATTGTTGACGATTCCGGAGCAGGATAACTGGGTATACAGTGATGGGTTGTCAACGTCATGCATTGCTTTCGTCCTTGAAATGTACAAGGAAGCAGGAATATTTGGTCCACTTGCAAGTTCCATTCAAGTAACGGAGTTTACGGTTAGTTTGTTGTGAATATTCAAATTTATTAGATTAAATAATAGCAGTTTCAATTTTGCTTTGTGCAATTAATGTTGCATGATAAATAGATAATGAATTTTGATTGAAATGGATCATATGTAAAGCGACTATTCAGGTGTTTTAAACTTTAAACTATTCCTAGCTGTGCAATAGATTGGATGTTCTCTAACTTCACCCTCACATTTTCACCTGAGTTTGCATTGTTTGATAAGAATTGTTATTATTTGCAGGCACACTGCTTTGAACTCATTCATGTACAGAATTAAGGAATTTATGTTTATTTATTGAAACATACCCACAATAGGGATACGGTATATTTTTTATATATTTTTATTTACTACCGTATATGAACATAAATTTAGGAAACATAGTTAGGAGAGGCATCTATGTATAGTAAATAAAAATATATAAAAAATATACCGTATCCCTATTGTGTCCATATCCTAATTGTTTGAGAATCACTAGGTCCCTTGTCCATATCCATGCTTCTTAGATGCTTTGTTAATGTTTTATCTTGTCCAAACTGCAGATAAAAGAGGCTTACACTCTCAAGTTCTTCGAGAACAATTCAAGCCGCCTGCCTAAATGGTGCAACAACGATGGGGACCCTGTGAAGCTCCCATTCTGCCAAATAAAAGAGAAGTATCGAATGGAGCTACCGGAATACAATACCATGGAACTGTACTCCCATATGAATGAAACGTGCCCGTCTCTGCCTCCAAAATACTACAGGCCGAGGGTTGTTGAAAGTCTTCTGATTTGTTTTTCCTGTTTAGGAGTTTGTTATACCAATGTCTGGTGTTGTACCCAGTTGTTTTATCATTGATTCATGTATATACACCTTGTATTGTATGATGCAAAAGAAAGGAAGATGACAAAATGGTTAGTCAACAGGGGTCAAAGTTGTTAGTAAATTTGGCAACCGCAGTATGCCTAATGTCGAAATCACTGTTGTAAATGAGTGAAATTGGGAAAAAAT